TTAAAAAAAAATAAATATATATTTAAAAAATAATTATCTGAGGGATTTTAGGTTCTTATTAGATGCAGCAATCACCCTTTGTTCAACACTGAGACAATTCATTAATTATTAATTTTGGTTTATGATTAATGTATTTTGTAATACTGATGCATAAAGATTATAGTAGGACTAAATAAAAGCAAAACTTAATCGTCCCGTAATAGCTCTCAGGATTGTTACTACCTCGCGTCTGGATTTGAACTTTAGATACGGAGCTGAGAAATTCCATGTTCTTTCTCCAGTTCCCAGCTGATCAAACCCTTCAGCACAGAGGACAGTTTGAGATAGCACTGATTGTTCTACACACCAACTCCATAGTTTTCTGTTTCTGAGTCACGAGATGATAAAATTACCCTGTGTACGTATGTGTATGCTCCACAAATTACCACATGTAGACTGCACACAATACAGACAGCCTTCTGAGATAACTGACAACTCTCTGAATTGTGGTTACAAATATCACAGCCAAACACTAAATCCTGTGTATTGTGTTTTAAATATACCTGGCATTTTAAAGCAGTGAATAATAAAACATTGTTGCACTTGGCAATATAACAGTTATTTAATTTAAAAACACAGAGTTAGGTCTAAATTGTGGTAACTGGTTCCCCGAAACGTTACTGTTCTGTAGGTCAATACATTCAGAGCAGGGAAAGTAGAATTCAGTTTTGTGGTATGGGTTGTTGGTGAGATTGTGCTGCCAGCAGGCATCCGAGATCTACGAATGAAGGTTTTGGCTCTGCTCCTCAGCTTTTTTTAGCTGTTCAGAGAAAACATGAGCACTCTGATCTCTAAAGTTTATCATGCAGGTATTTACATAACAGCCTGGAGTTAATGGAGCTATTTGTGCATAGTATTATACTTAAGTATTTGCAAGATCAAGGTCTAAAATCTCAAACTATAAAGGTTTTATAAATAGAAAAAGCCCTTCAAATTCTTCAGATTGTTCCCAAGAAAACACTGGGAGCCAGTAAAGTCGGAGAGCGCAAGGGGTGTGTTACTCGTGAAGTGCGCTGGTAATCTGAAGGACAGCTGAATGCCACGTGACGTCCATTTTGCAGGCGATCTCCTGGTAGAATCTCAAGGAAAGTTCATTTCGACGAACCAGCCCCGAGCTTTCGGCTGCTGCCCAAGAGGAAAGGTCACTGTCTGTTTACCTGGCACAGACAGCTGACGCAGAAGGCTGAGTGTTATATGGCCACGTGCAAATATTTAAAAGCTGCCTCTAAGAAGACCTCAGGCCTCCTGTTAAATTTCAGAATATGTCTAAAAATCTTTTTATCAAAGGGACACATAGATTTCACCATTTTTCTCAGCTCATTCTTCAGCTCATCAGTAAAATCTCTCCTACAAGAGTCACCACCCATCCAGGCCTCACTGTGGCTTAGGTTACTGGTCCAAAGCAGAGGTCGGGTACAGCACCACACCGCATACTGTACCCGCCCGGCAATGCCTGGTGGAGCAAGGGCACAGTCATCACTACTCCCCACAGAGCTGTCTAACTTAAAAAACTTTACTTTTCCAAAGCCACCTAAGCAGTCATCAGAGTTCAGTTTAGGCTTGTTCTTTCGGCATTTAATTCCCCAGCTTACAGGGGGGAAGCCTGGAGAACTTCACGGAAAGCAGGACTGGGGTCTTGCACGTGTCTAGCTGGGGGCTACTGAAGTGTGGGACTGCTGCCCAAAGCAGTTTGTTCTCTGGTGAGGGGGTCATCTCACCTGTTCTATCGCAGCTGTTGAAATGTGAATCACTACACAAATAACCTGCAATTGCATACAGTTTACCATTGTAGTGGGGGCTGTGAACTGCAACCGTGGTGACTGGCTGTGCAGCAGGGAAGATGCTCCTGTGTGGGCTTGAGGAGTCCAAAGTGTTATAGCCAGCCTTTTTCATGAATCACAGCCCTCCTCCTAGTTCGAAGTTCATGCACTTGTTTTTCATTTCTGCCATAAATTTGATCTGATGTAGGGCAAGTTACGCTCTTTTATGAAATAGGAACAATACCAACTTGTTTTTTTTTCATTTAGACTGTAAACGGTTTAGTACTTCCTGATGTTGTTTATATTTTGGGCTCCTGGTCTCAGCTGAGGTTTCTTGCTGCTGTTGTGATGTAAAGATCATACAGCAGGAGTTGTTTTAGGAGATTTGAAGGAGTTCTTTGTGCTTAAGGAAGGGAGGTTGTTTGGGATTATTGAAAAGAGTGAAGCTGAGTTGGGTAAGAGGAGAGAACCGTTAGGAAAACGTATTGCAAACACTGAGGAGGAGGAGAATTGTCTATACTACAGGGGAAGTAATTTGCTGTTTTGTTTTTTTTGAACTTCACTTTGATTACTGCGGTTAATCTAAGTGCACTCTTTATGTTTGGACAGGAGCGCGTTCAAAAGACATTTCCTCATCCAATAGACAAGTGGGCGATTGCTGATGCGCAGTCTGCTATAGAGAAACGAAAAAGAAGAAACCCTCTCCTGCTACCTGTGGACAAAATACATCCTTTATTAAAGGTACTTAAACCAACAACCCGATGACCGCTGCTTCTGCCCACCACACACCCCCAGCTGTATTATCGCCCTCCAGCTTAACCTTTAATTCTTTCTTTAATTTGTGTGAAGTTATGGAGGTTTCTCGTGGGGTGAAAGAGTAAAGAGTCACTGTAGAACAGGATGAATATATTGTAGTGTGTAAGAAAAGTAGATCCCCAAATTCATCATGTTCTAGATGTCAGTTTGTTAATGTATTACTCTACTTTGAAATATGACTAGTTAGTTTTTAACATAAATAAAACCGAAACAAACTCAAATACCTTACCTACTTCAGTAGCACTGTTTTGACACCTTTATTTGTTTCAAAATGCTGCAGAAGCCAAAATAGAAGAGGGAACAAGTAGATCCTGTTCCTTGTGTGTTGTCAACTAAGATGTGTATCGATGTCCTTTCAGTTACTGTTGAATGTCACTGACGCCTTGGTTTTAAAATCAGTAGATCTGCAAAGGTGCAACAAAAGACTAAATACAGACTATAGATTCAGGCCAATTCAAGCACTGCTCTTTTTTGGTATTTGTTTTTTCTGTTGATTTTGCTTTTCGTTCATGGCTTAAAAAATGCTTTTCTCCAGTGGTGGCATTGTTGCACCAGAGTTTCCAGCTGCATTGAGAAAACATTATTCAAGCATAAGCAGAAATTAAAGCACTTTTTCAGGTCTAGTCACTGTGTTCTTATATGCAATGTCTGAGTTTGTGATGGTTAATGAGAGGGGAAGAGATGTTAGAAAAGAAAATAGCATTAAATAAGATTTTCGTAGACAATGCTGGCTTTCTTTTATGAAACCTGATTTAGAAGCGTGTGGACATAGGCACAGAATCTGATTTTTAGAAGATGCATCGAGATACGATAAGAACAAGACTACCTTATTCAAATGCATGATCTTACCGGTACTTATTTCTGATGGTCCGGTCAAATAAGAGGCCATGTGGTGCATGCTCTGCAGAACATGAGCGTGTATCACAAGAGGAGCATGCGACGTTGATCCTGTTTTTTTTCTGTTCAGATTTTAATTATTCAAGTTTAATTATTTTATGTAATGCAAGGATGCAGACAGCTTAGTTGTTTGGCCAAATGTAAAAGATGGACTAAAATGGATCGCAGTACGTAAGAGGTTGGACATATAGTTTGTAGTTTCATGAAAGATAACTTTTTCCATCAAGAACAATTCAAAATGAAGCATGCATTTTTCTGAAGAGTTCAGATTAGGGCCAGAGTCTTGCAGTACGCATAGATATAGACTAAAATTTAAGTACCAGAGTGGTTCCAGTGAAGCCCCTTCCTTGAAGGAACCCTATTTTTAGGACTGTCATTTTTAGAGGAAGGATTATTGAAAGTTCTGTAGTTTTTCATCTGTCAGTATATGGCAAAATAGCACAAGGAAGTATTTGCAAGCATTTCCTTTGAGTCAGCTGCTTAGATTTCCATTTGTCCTTTGCCCTGGCCATTACATTACTGTAAATTATCAATACAGATGAGATCAATTTCAGTAGAAAACTCAATGTGTTAATTGTCATTCTGAATTAATTTCTGGAATAAATAGCTCTTTTTTTTTTTTCCCCTCCTGTTGTCAATTTGTAGGAGGTCCTAGGTTACAAGGTAGATTACCATGTCTCTCTGTATATCGTGGCTGTCTTAGAATACATCTCGGCTGACATTTTAAAGCTGGCTGGAAACTATGTTTTCAATATACGGCACTTTGAGATCTCCCAGCAGGACATTAAAGTATCGATGTGTGCTGATAAGGTAAGGAGTTGGGATTAAAGTGGTAGGTACTAGAGGTGATTTTGGGTTTTGTTTTGGTGTTTTGTTTTTTTTTTAAGAGGATGTATCCAAAGTAGGACAGGAGGGTGAGACTGGTCTTATTCAAATGCAGAAACTTCTCTCCTTGTTCATGGCAGATTTGTCACAGTAAAGACTTAAGTTGAAGTTGAGCCTGTTAAGTTTTGGAACGGTAGTAGTACTTACAAAACAATGTAAAAGCAGAAAATGATGTTGTCCTTTATTTCTCCGCTGTGTTACTGTCCTCCTGATGTCACTTTGTCATGAGAGCTCTTTCCTTCTTTATAATACAGAAAAGACCTATAGTTTTCATTCTCATTAAAATGAGAAACATTTTTGTTTATCTTTATCAGGAGGGTTTTGCCAAAGGCTTATGCAAGATGCCTTGTTTTCAAAGTTGGTTCTGCATGAATTGTAACTTGTCTTCTAGGTCGTACTAACTTACAAACGGGAAAATGGCTTTGGCAACTGACCCAGCCTTCTACTGCCAAAGTTTAAATATTACTCCCTTGTGAAAGTGATCACAGAAAGTATTGTATTACAAACTCAAAGGATTTCTCTGAACACATTGAAATAGCTGAGCTTGAGCCAAGTGTAAAAATCAGGCTTGCATGTAATTTTTTAAATTTCTTTGCTAGGTTTTGATGGATATGTTTGATCAAGATGACATTGGTTTGGTTTCTCTCTGTGAAGATGAGCCCTCTTCTTCTGGGGAACTCAACTACTATGACCTAGTGAGAAACGAAATTGCAGAAGAAAGGCAATATCTGCGGGAGTTGAATCTGATAATAAAAGTATTTCGGGAAGCTTTCCTATCAAACAGAAAATTGTTCACACCTAATGTAAGTCCTTTAATAGGTTATTGATGTGTAATGCTGGTTACTCCATTAGCAGCCATAACATATCAATTTTACATTAACTGTGTTGGGGGTAAAATTAAATGTGATTTATTGTATGTCAGTGCATAATGAGTGTTGACTATATATGAAATAAAATGGAGGAATTGCCATTAATAGTAGGAAGAGTGCTGCTCTCGGAGTGAGGCTTAATGGACACAATTCCCTGTCAGATGCCAGCAATAGCTGGAGTCGTTTGGTTATGTAGGTAATAGCTATGCTTTTGCTTAACCCAAAAATTAACAGTTTTCCACCTGCGTGTATAGTGAATGCAGATAAATGCTTGAATTGACATTTGAAGTCTACCCCAGAGCACTCCTATCTGCAGAAACTACAGTAAAACAGCCCTTGGCTCTGGATTCTCTAGCGTGTGACTGACTGCGAAGGGAATCTCTATTTGGCAAATGATGGAAATATTTGATGGAAATTGTATGTGACGCCAGTCCTGTTTTCAGGGTGCTAGAGATGCTACAGAAAGCACAGCTCTTGTAAGAGAAGAAGTAATAACGAGAGATTAGTGAATCCTTCCTGTGGGAGGAAGGAGAAGGGGACCAGGCCAGCAGAGCCTGAACTGGGATTTTTAGGTGATACCAGCAGGTTAAAAAGAGAGGCAGCAGGAGGTGTTCCCATTACAGCTGGGTGTGGAGGTTCCACAGTAGCTGATAGGATGTCAGAGAATTGTGCAAATGTGGGGGACAGAATTCAAACAAAGATGATGGGAGGAGAAGGGAGCGATATTTTGGAGCTGAGGAATATTCTTTTGTTATATGGGAACGGGTATGAGAAATTTTGAGATTGCTTGTTCCCACGAGGAGTTTGCCACGGTCTTGGCACTGGCAGGAGGTCAAGCAAGCTCTGCAGTGTTAGGTTGGGGCAGAAGAAGGTTCTGAGAAGTGGGGTCAGAAGACAAATGCAGGTCATTGGAAGGGGCTGCCTAGTTGAGTGTGTTTGTGGTGTGTGAATTTGGAAAAATCTAAAGTAGAATTTGGAGAAGGAAGCTGCCGATTCCTCCTCTGTACTTGGGTAGTATTCTGCTAAAGTAACCCAGTAGCTGCTGTAGTTTTACCTGTGGTTTAGAGGATCTGACCTTGGAGCTGCTTCAAATTGCCTCCTTCCTATTGTGTTCTGAGAGACGAGAATCAGCAGAGGGGAAAATAACAGCTGTGCATTGTGGCTGAAAAGGCCAGGCGTTTCTGTCCAGAGCACTGAACAGCCTGTACCAGGGCTGCTGCTGCTCCAGCCCGGGAAGGATGGTGTGCTTGCTTTCGCTGGGGTGAGAATTGTGCAAGGCTGGATCTGCCCAGGCAAGGCTGCACGGCTGGGAAGACCACGTAATTTAACTTTCTTCCTAGCTTTCTGTTGGCTCTTTTCCATTTACCTCTTGGTTCAGACTTCACGAAAAATACTCCGATATTTACATAAGCAAAATAAAAAAAAAAATCATTCTAAATACTACTGCGATACGTTTTCTGTTTGCAGGATATCGATGTGATATTTAGCAACATCTCAGATATTCATGAGTTGACAGTGAAGCTTTTAGGATTGATTGAGGACACTGTTGAAATGACTGATGAAAGTAGTCCTCACCCTCTGGCTGGCAGCTGCTTTGAGGATCTTGCAGAGGTACGATGTTTTGTTGTTTTGGGGGGTTTTTTGTTTATTTTTTTTTTTTTAATCACTCATTGTTTTATTTTCTTAGAAAACTTTTGGTCATGACCAATAATATCGGATAAATTTGCAGTTGTAAAATGTCCTTTTAATAAGCTCTGAACAGAGACCTTCCCTACCCGTTCTTTAGTAGGTAAGCTAAAGTGTGTTTTCTACCCGTCACAGAAACAGTATCGAGCAGGTGAGCACAAAACTAAAATCTTATTTCAGAGTGGGAATTAATTTCTATGATCCTGTAGGGATGTGGATTTGAAAAGTAACTACCTGGGATTGCTTGCTGAAAAAATCAGTGCTCTGATTTTTGTAGGCATTGGTGTCAGGCCCAGGGCTACCCAAAAATCATAGCAGTTGGATGTAGATCTGCAAGATGAGTGATTTGCATTACTCTGGACAGTGAGCTAACTCAAAGAAAGTGTGTTCTTAATTCAGGCAAATGCGTTGTTCTACATCTGGACTGAGAAATGTCTCTGCAGAGCAATGACTGAGAAGGACTGAAGTATCAGAACAGACATGGAACTGAACAGAAGTTTACTGTTCAGTATTATAGCAAAAGTGCTGTTGATACCCATTGAGCTATAAAATAAATATTAAAGAGTAGGAATAAGGGAAGACACTGCACATGGATTTGCTGTGACTCATACTGGAACATTATTAACAATTATTTTGTCAGGGTTTTGTCGTTTTGTTTTGTTTTGTTTTTTAAATGGGCATTGAAATACTGGAAGGACTAGAGAAGAGAGTCACAAAATTAAAGTTTTTGAGAAAATGCTTTACAGTGAGATAGAGCTCAGTTTAGTCAAAGTAGATAGGAGTATAGGTACCTTTGTGACCTGAGAATAGAGGACAAAATGACTGTGGAATTCAGCAGAGGTGTGCACGGGAAAAATGCGGTATTTGAAAGGCAGGAGGACAGTTCAGCTTAGAAGCAGACCACACCTTTTTAACTGTCAGGGGAGCTAACTCTTGGAACAAATTACCAAGGTATGTGTGGAGTGTTTGCTGTCTTGGACATGTTTAAATGGAGTCTACTTTTTCTTGAGAGGTGTATTGACCCCAGTTTTTTGAACCAAAGTGTGTGGATAATCATGTAAGCCACACCGACCGTATTACAGAGGAAGTAGAATGGGATGTTCTGGCCAGAGAGAGAATATCTCAGATGAACCACATGGTGAATGTGAAGTTTATGGTTTTTCTCTTAACATTATGATCTTTATAAAGAAAATAACAACCAATAAAACTTCCATTTCACTTTTACATATGTTGAGTTTTTAAAATCTGAGGACTGGATGAACACACCAGTACCATTTGGAAAATGATTACATTTTTGTGGGTGTGAAGAATACGGATCCTTCAGCCCATGTGCCACTCACAAACATACCATAAAGGTTAAGTTTTCTTGGTGTTACTTCAATAAATGACTTGTGACATATCAATAGGGAGGTCCAGTTGACTATGTCTTAGCTCTTAAGTTGTTAAAGCATAAAATCATAGACTCATTTGGGCTGGAAGGGACCTTCAGAGGTCATCTAGTCCAACCCCCCTGCGGTGAGCAGGGACATCTCCTACTAGATAAGGTTGCTCAGAGCCCCATCCAGCCTGACCTTGAATGCTTGCTTATATAATAATGAGAAGCATTTGAACAATGAATTAAAGTAAGTAGCTGTTACGTTAAAATTGAAAAAAGACTTAAAATTTGAAATAGTACAGCACTATCCTGGAAAACATACATATTTCAGTTTATTGCAAAAGCTACTCTTAGGCGTCCTGTGCTTTAAGGGAAACTAATCCTTTTAAATCGGTAAAAATCTCACCTGATTTTCATTAAAGTGAAAATAGGAAATGAGGAACAGATTATTCTTCAGAATTTTATGCAGGTAGTAAGTTTGAATTTAATAATTCAGTTAATATAGAGCAAGAGCTACTTAATAACTGGACTGTTCATTTGATCATCTCACATGTTGAGATCATCTTTCTGTGAGGATTTGGAAAACGGATCGTTAAAGAGAGATATGAAAGTGAAGTGTTTATTTGCTCTGCCTATCTTACTGCCAGGCTTGTTTGCTTAGTGTTTCCATTATAAAAGTCCTTCAACTTATTTGGAAGGATAATTAAAAACAAACAACCCTTGCAAGCTGGCTTTTCCTGCTTTGTCTGGTTTTCTGCATCAGTTCTCTGGAAGGTTTAAACATAAATATTGTAGTGGTTTTGAGATAAGGAAGTATAGGGAAAATAAAACATTTTTCCTGGTGTGGAGGAAATTCAAAAACTTGATGCCTGACACGTAGGAGTGGGAGATAGGATATTTGTTAATATGCTGGTAAAAAAATTTTACTTGGTGGCAACTTTGCAATTCTCACTACGACAGCGTGTTTTAATGATTGCCTGAGATAATCTCCTTAGTGGCCTTCAGCTAGTAGGGGGAGAGCCTCAGAACCAAGGGCAGAGAGGGTCTTTGTGCCTGCTTCCAAGTGGTCCTCAGAAGGCAGCTTGTAAATTTGTTGTGCTGGTATTTGCGTTTCCATAGGAGAAGTTTTAGGTATCCACAAAGCGCAAAAGGTGGAAACCAGTGCGCTACAGCAAAAGGGGCTGAAATGTACAGACACCAATCCAGAACCATATGCTGCTGTAAGATAACTTGCATGGGCATCAAGTCAACATCTCCATATTTCAGTAACTTTTGCAACATTGCAAGTTTAACCCCCCCCCTTTTTTTTTTTATTACTGTCTTGGGGAAAATACTGAATGCAGTTTGTTTCAATTTGGGCTTCAAAAAAACCCCAAAAACTTGAAATACTGATTAAAGTCTGGGTGGAAGAAACTGAAAACACTTCCAAAATGCAGTAAAAAGTTTAAAAAGACTGCACAGAATAAATATGTATCGGGCTGGCTCCCCCAGTGGCTTTGCATGCAAGATGACATCGAGAGGAGCAGTTCCAGCTCTGCTCTCTGCTGGTGTCGTGGGGTGCGGAGGCCGGAGCCGGCGGAGCTGCAGCCGCAGCCATCTGTCCATTCCTCCGGCCGGCCTCTGGATGCAGCTGAGCCCACACCCCATGGCTACCTTACTCCTTCTGCAAAGGCTAATGGTCGGGTTTTTTTCTTCGCCAGTATGGCAAGGAGAAACTGTATATGCAGTGTTATTGTCTCCTGTCCTGGATGGTGTCGTGTAAGTGTACCCCCCCCACATTGTGTGCTTGCAGGTAGTGGGCGGGCGTGGAGTAAACTAACAAACTAAAAATCCAGGCTGTGACCTCGATTTAGGTTCTACTGAAGAAAACCAGCCTGTTCAGTTAGCGTCTCATCATTTCTCTTCAGCTGTTGCTGCTGAAGTGCCAAACCTTCCCCCCCCCTCCATCTCCCCTCCCAGATACAATCTAATGCGAATGGACAGCGATGATTAGAACTTGATGAGGAGAGTTGAGAGTGATGAGTACAATTTGCATGTGAAAAGAGAGTGCTTTCTGTGCCTCTCCTCCCCGCAAGGAGTTTAATTGCTGAAGCCCCGTGAGTAAGGTTGGGAATCCCCTGGACCCTCTGCAAATGGAAGATTGGAGACTTTACCTGAAAGTTCAAATGAGCCTTTGTGGTGGTTGGTGCTCCCACACTCTGCAGCCTGTATTCTGACAAGCACTGCTCCATTAAGGTGGAAAGGAGGTACGTGCTTATTCTGGGCATCGTGCCATCAGCACTGGATAACCCGGTGATTCATGAGTGATTCAGCCCAGTGAATCTGCAGAGACTTGGGAGCAGCCTGGCAGGCTTTGGAGCAGGTGATCTATGAGCAGTCATAAATTATTCCTGCAGAGATTCATGTACAGTCAGGTTTTCATCCCATTGTACTGTAGTTGATATTACAGAATCACAGCCAGATACCCCATCCAGAGTCATAATTTTTTGGACCTGAAATGTTTGGTGTCATGAGAGGACTTTCCTCTGAGACTCTTTCAGACTAGCTGCTTTGTCCCAGAGAGAGGAGGTATTTTCCCAGGCTTCCAACATGGCCAGAAAGGCGTGCAGAGGTCCACTGCTTATGACTGACCGTTCTTACGTGATGCACCCTGAAATGGTGGTGGTACAACAATGCCTCCTTGTGACAGTCTCCAAAGTTCATCTTTAACCTCTACTTCTTTCCAAAGTGTCATCCTCTATTGACAGAGAGGAGGTAAATTGCCATTCTGTATGAAATGTGGGTGGGCTGAAAGCAAGAACTTCTCTCGGTTCCCACTGCTTCAGTAAAACAAAGTTTGTGTTAGTAGTAAGTATGGTGAGATTGAGGAATGCTGAGAAAATGTGTGCATTTAAAATTTGGAAGTGAAAAAGGTTTGTGGTTTACTGAATATTTGTTTTGCAAAATTGATCTTTTCTTGAGAAGTTACACTTGTGTATCAGGTTATTAAAGGAATTAATTGTACCAGCTGGGACAGAAATATCTTGAATCCTTCACGTATGTATATAATTCTCTGTTTTTATTTAGGAGCAAGCCTTTGATCCATATGAAACCTTGTCCCAAGATATTCTCTCTCCACAATTTCATGAGCATTTTAATAGCTTAATGGCAAAACCTGCTGTTGCTCTCCACTTTCAGGTGAGTGCAAATTCAATACTGAATTGCTTTAGCTCGGCTGTTTCAAAGATTTGAATTTTGTCAGTAATTCTTTACTTCCTACTGAGGAAGAAATCTTCTAGATTTTGACCTTTCTTCACTGTAAGATATTTGGACTCTGCCTGTTCTTGTAAAAACTGGACATAGCTCCGACCCAGTCGTGGGTCTTTTGTGGGTTTTTTTGCCCTCACATCAGACTCCCTTGCTGGAGAATAGAGAGTGACTTCTCATACCTGCCACTTCTATTTCTGTTTTGCCTTTTAATACCAAACACAGGCACCCAGGCACAATATTTTCGTTTCCTTCTGTACCTATCCCAGGCCCCCTTGTTCGGTGTTAAGGCTGGGACTGGCAGTTTTTCTTGAATCATTTCTTTAATTAAAGACTATCGAGCAAGATCATCCTTGATTATTTTTTTTTTAATTTGATTTTTTATCACTTTCCTCCGCCACCGTGGCAGATCTATTAAAGACTACTGTTCAGAAGACTGAGCTTGTGTTCAGAAATGCTCTTAGAGAAGCTGCTGAGCAAGTGTTCGGTCAGTGGTGCTCCCAGCTAAACCCACTACAGTAGCATTTAGTTTGTATGGTTCACTGAGGCCCGTGTCTGCAAGCTGAGCTTTCTCAGCCACTCCTTCAGGGTGAGTGTTTCCCCTTCAGCTCTGAGCGCTTGGTAAGCTGGATCATCTCACTTTTAAATACTATTTGGTGAATGAAGCAAGGCCCTTTATCTACTTCCCTAGCAAATTTGAAGCCCAAAGCCTTATTCCAGATTAAATGGGTAACTGAGTGATTTGACAGTGAATCTGACCTCCTTTCTGACTCTCCTCACCATAGGAAGGTTTGGGCTTTCCTAGGGCTATTCCTTCACACTTCTTCTCCAAGGTGTGTGGAGTGAAGGCGGAGGTCGAAGCTCTGGGCCGTGGACGTATATGAGCTGTCTCTGGCAATTGCAGAGAGATGCAGCCAGAAGTCTTAAACAGGGAGAGAGGTCATTTCCAAACAAGAGATCAGGTAATTCAGTTTCTGTTCAATAGTTCCTTGATATGGAAGATGGCAGGGATTTCACCGTCCTTTGGAAAACCTCTCCTCATCTTACAACCTGAATTATTGTGTTAGTTAACTGCTGGGAATAGGAAAAAATTTCTAACTCATTTTCTAAGTCATAAACTTGTGATTCTCAGTTTCTGAGGGAGAGGAGACACTAATATTAATTTCTTCAGTACTTGATGTGACTTCCATATTTCTGTGATATATTGGATGTAAATTGAAGCACAGCATACATAATTGGGAGGAGAGGACATCGGAGGGAAGTTAGTGAAAAGTTTTTTAGATTGTATGGGAGTCCTGGCTGATCTTTAACATTCCAGTGTTTTCTTTAAATTGTGCAGCAAACTGTGGCCCAGGGTAAAACGTGTTATTTTTGGGAATGAGTATGAGCGTTTGTCAAAATATATTCAAAGACTTTCTGCATTCTGGGATGTGGCTGTTGACTGGGGAATAAGGCATGCAGTTTAGCCATAGACAGTGCGTTATTTTTAGGTGGTGTGACCTTGAGCTATTGCTATTAATTGAGTTCTGCAGGCAGGGCTGAAATACAAAGGTGCTAGGGATTGCAATGAGAGTACCTCCCCATGAATTAAAGGATGCTTATAAGATGGCTTGTGGGTAACTTCATCCTCTAGCTTTGATTTGCTACTTCTGACAAAAATATGGACCATCCAAGTGGTTACCATTTCAAGGAGGCAGATTGTGCCAGCATTTGTTGTAGGCGTTAGGGGTGTTTTCAGGGCGATGGGTTCACTAGTGAGTACACATCAAAATCCACCCGAAGCTGTTGATGGAAATGGTGCTTGCAGTGCCTGGAAGAGGATGTTTACAGGTTCTATTTGCTTGATGTCAGAGCATTTATGTGTCTCTGAATCTGCTAGAGTCTCATTAGACAAAAATGTTTTTGCAAACTTTGTCTTCCTTATTACTAGATGTAAGCTTAGAGTAACTGAGATCAGAAGGGATACCCTGGGTGTGTCTAGCACAACCATCTTGCTCAAAGCAGTGCTAGTAGCTTCAGGGCCTTGGCCAGTCTTGTTCTGAGTATTTCAGTGTAAGTAATCCTGTTTATTTTTCCTTTTCAGTCTACTGCTGAAGGGTTTAAAGAAGCTGTACGATACGTCCTCCCACGACTTATGCTTATCCCAGTCTATCATTGTTTGCACTACTTTGAGTTACTACAGGTAAATGAAGCCACACTCTTGTTTCCTGCGAGAAACGTTTCTTAATGTGGAGAACCTGAGCTTTCAAATAGGCAATTAGATTTTACTTACTGCTTCTGAAAAGTGAAAGATATGAAAACATTAAGTTGACACAAGTTAGTATATGTCTGAAAAGTAAAATCACGTAAAAAAAAAGTCTTCAAAAGCATCTGTTGCTCTGATACGAACATTTGAAGTAACTATATTTTATTAAACAAACCGTTATTGAACTTGTTCTAATGTAGTTAAAAATTCAGTATGCAAATCTAACTTCTTCTTTCCTCGAGTTCTGAATTTTTTGTCTGTTCAGAAAAAGCTAAGCATAATTCAGATCAGTGCTCTGAATCTCAAGTCACACTCTAGTTGCAGCTCAGCTGATCTTATTTTGGGGGTTGGGGAGGCACTTCCTTTCAGCAGAGTCAGAATAATCCGTCCTTAACGTTCAACCATTTGTCCCAAGTCCTAAATGGAAGAGACACAGCAAAAGAAATACCATTTTTCATAGCATACCATACTTTCTCCATATTGAGCGGGAATGAAAATAAGCGCTACTATTTTCTTATTTTCCATCTTCTAAGAAATGACATTGATGAAATGTCAGGCTTTATGGAATTCTGATTCATGATAAAAAGTTATTCCTGTAGGTCATATTTCAGGGGTCTTACCATACAAGTTGTTTAGGTTGGCATCTAGTCCATATTTATGAGCAATTCTGCCTATTGAGGCATGACTTATTTTAGACCACAGATCACTTGCACATACTTTCTTCTGATGTGCACTAGCAAGGTGGTTCACATCAGTAGATGTTTCCCTTGGGTGTAAGAGCTAAAAGCCAAAAAGTAACTAAGCATGTATCTTCTTGCCTACAAGCAAATGTTTTTGCTGTGAGTTATGAGAAGAGAGGCCAGCAGTCAGCAGAAATTTAACATCTGAGATCTATAATAATCATTCTTGAACGGAAAAAAAATACTGTTGCTGTAGAAAATGCAATGTCTTGAAAAATACTTAGATTGAAGCTTTTTTTAAGTAGCTGAGGATAATGTAAAAAAAAATTTCTGTTTGCCCCATTGTGTTGGGAAAGTTTGTAATGCTTATAAGGGTAAGTGAATTATTAACTAGATGGGATATACTTAAACAGGTGAAATATCCTGTGGCTATAGCTGACATTTTGAAGTAGCAACAGAAATTACAGTTTTAAGTTCTCAATGAAAAAAGTGATAGTAGCAGTGTTGTACAAGTGTGTTATATGGTCTTCCTTTGTATTTCAAAGGATTTACTGGTATGGAGGAAGAAAAGGAAACTTTGCAACATAGAATTTAGTATAATACAATCTAAAATTTTCTCGAAAGACTTTGGAGCCAAAAAATAACAATTGTTTTAAGGCCAGGTCTGTAGTTAGTATCTGGCACATATTCCTTTTTTTTTTTTTCTTAAGTTCAGTCTTGTTTTCATTATGTCTGCTGTGATTTTTTTTTTTCATGTCCTGATTTATGTAAGTAAAAATAAGGATGATTTATTTTGACCCATGAACCACACATCTTCAATGTATGAATTACCAGTATTTTGTAGAAAGGTTTAAATCCAAGTGGTATCAATAAATTTTAAATCCTTAAGCATTTCTATTGGTAATCTGTTTAGAAAACAGTTAACAAAGCTTAAAAAAAAATAATCCCAAAACAACCCTAATGGTCAGTGAACTTTTCTCTACATTACTGCACTGCCTCTACTGAGAACAGAAACTTTATATTGCCATAGTTTTAATATTTGCCTTCATAAAGCTTATGTTTCTGTAAGGACATCTTATAGAAAATAAGTAAAAAACCAAACTGATCGAAGAAGTAAAGGATGACGGCAGAAGCACGGCATGGTTCTGCCAGCCTTGCTGTGAAATGAGCACTGATAGCTTCATAGAAACATCTGTCTTTCAAAACAGTGTAACTTCCCTTTGCATAACGGTCAGTTACAATAATTCTCTGGAACTTCTTAAAATGTTCTTCTTTCATGTTTGAAAGACCTAATTGGATTAGTGGCCTGTATTATGCTGAAAGTCAGGCTAATTAATGACCCATTATGTCTTGAAGCTCCGAAATGGAGTGCATCAGTATGAAATTAAAGATTGAAATCCTATGCTGCAGCTTTGGGAGGATCTAAACATAGAACTGATTTTAGAAGCTGCATAATGTTTGTCCGCTTTTTAGGGAAATGTTGCCTTATTGAGCAGAGTTTTATATGTTTTCAAAACTTAAGATTTAAATGCTTTGCAAGCAAACATGGTAGTTTTTTCTTCAGTGACAGGAAAGGGTGGTTACTATTTATGTTTTAAACCATGGCACAAAGAAGACAATTTGGTTTTGATAGCCCATCTTAAATCTGTAATGCTGCAAGAGAGTTTTCTGTCTCTCGGGGGGTTCTGAGTCTGCTCATAACTCCTGTTAGTATTAATAGGATCAGGTTAGATATGCGCGTTCTTAAATTTCCTCATGTCTTTGAATCATAAAGTCTGGCAGATAGTGCAAAAACATTTTGTTGTTTCTTTTATTTAACTTGGATAATACAGCAGGATGCTGCATGGAAGATAATATTAGGTAATGCCTTTTTTAACTAGGGAATTTTAGCAGTGAAAATTATTAAATTTGACCTTTATCCACAGTATACAAGCTTTCCGAATAGAATTAGAATTCAACTGCAGAGGCTGACACTTGGCTGTCTCGAATCTTTCTGACCTTGTGAGCATAGAGCAGAAATCTTAAATACCGCCCTGTAGCGAGTAATGATAAATACAGAGTCTTTTGTTGTGATCACTTTAGTTGCAGGTTTAAAATTTGAATTTTATCTTGTAGTTTGAAAACACCCTAAATTTACGGCAGTGATTTTTAAAAAGCAGAGTGTTTTTAGGGATAGAGAGAGTATTTATTCAACAATATTAATATATTATAAACCGTTGGTACTGCTTCTCTGTTACCATTTTATTTGTCTCTAGGAACCTTGGTTGAAAAAGACCTAGCAAAAATGGACGCAGAAAAGCAGCAGAATACTCATATTTTCATGGCTTCAGTAGGGAGAGAAGCTAAGATTGAGACTGTTACTCCTAAAGAAAGTTACCAAAAAACCCCTACTGAATTGGGAGGTAAATAAAATAATGAATTGTTTACAGAAGCACAGGCCTTGATATTTGCTCTTTTGCAAAATAACAGACCTAAAATTAATTAAATTAAAGTGTGAAAAGCTTGAAAATTCTTTCCAGCTGTAGAACTTCTCTCCTTGATGCAAAAACCTGTTTGTGCAGGCTCTGCTGCAGGAGCTGCATCAGAGACTCCTCCTTGCCTAAGCAAGAGGCATAAGGATTGGATGTCATTTGGAGACCCCCGTGTTGAATTTGTTTGATTTGGCAGATTTTCGTTAGCAGCCACATAGAGGTCACCAGGAAATAGCCTTTGAACGCCCTGAGTCAGGGGGCAGGCCCTGATGTCACTTTAATGTTGATTGCTTGTTCAAGTATTGACAGAAAATGAACCTGCAATAGGTTGTTTCGGAATGAATGATGATAGCAAAGGTTGAAGGAGGTCATGCTAAAGAAATAAAACCATCTTGAAGGGAAAAGTAGTGATAGTGATCAAAAGTTGTTCGATCTTGCGAAAAGGTAACCCAAATACGTTCTGATTGTGGTATCTTTAATTAATTATCAGAGTATTCATGTTTAAAACACTGTGCTTGACATTTCCAAGTGTGAATGCCTTAATACTGGCAGTGTAGAGGAGAGGTTAATGTTTTATCAGACTTTCAAGCTCCAGGTATGTTTTCATAAATGTGTCTGTTGATACCAGAGTTCCAGGAAACGTTATTTGTTGAATGCCATGCAAAGACCTCAGGGGATCATACCACAGAATCATAGAAAGGTTTGGTTGGAA